CCAAGGAGGGGGCATCCACCCCTCTGGACAGCCTGTTCCAACACCACAACCCTCACAGTTAAAAATTTCTTCGTAACATTGAATCCAAATAATTAACCAATTTTTATGTTTCTTATAACATTTAATCAGCTATATATCATTTGTGTTTACATATTCTGAGATTATGGAAACCCTGTATTTGTTTAGGGAATTTGTAGCAAAGGTAATCTCTTCTCAGAACTCCCTTCAACTTTCAGTCATAGGGACTGCCTTTGCTTTTCTTCATTTGTTTTTTATTTATTTTGTGTAGGTGGTCATAAATTTTTATTATTTAAATTTTATTACTTATTTTTTCCTTTCTAATGGATCATCACAAGTACAATTTGCAGCCTTAAGTCAAGTATTATAATTCTTTTCCACTCATGAGTACAAAGAAATACTACTGTAAAGCTAAAAGCAGAGTCTAGCTAATGGTTAGAGAGAAATTAAAAAAAAAAATAAAAATCTAACCAGACAGCATTTGAAAGTGTGTTTAAAAGTGCCAGATATTAAATTCATAGTGCAGTCGAAAGATTAAGCATGAACAGTAGAAAGGATTCCTCTTCTTCAAAATACAGGTCAATAGTGATGCTCTATACCATAGGGATAAAACATTTATATAATACAAAATTTATGCATGTTAATATATAGTTATAGCAATTGAGCATAGCATTGTAGGACAACAGTGAAATTGTTGAGTCACTGAATGAATCAGTCCACAAAAATGTACCAGAGAGCAATGCTTGGAGATAAATGTTTATCACTGGATGCAGTGTCTCTTGAATGAAGAATTTAGCCACTGATGGTAATTACCATCCATTTTGAAATATATACACTACTTCAAATATCCAACAGAAAAACTGGTTAAATATGACATTTTAAAAACCCCACCACTTTATCTAAATTCAGCATAGATATTTATTCCCACGGGAAATGAGTAAATTACATTTTTGACAGACAAAACTGTCTTAGTTCTAATTTAGAAAGCCAGAAAAGACAACTTAAATATGAATATGTCACAGCCAAGGAGGAAAAAACCCCAGTATTTAACAGAACTGTAAATATTTTTTTTCCTTTACAAACAACTTGTGCATATACCAGCAAGCAATATCCTCTACTAATTTTGTCAAAAAAGCCTAAAATAAATGTACTTCATTTTTTGATATTTTTCCACATTAAATGAACTAGTTCTGCACACACCTGATTACAACACGTATACATATGTAGAAAAAGTTAATGAAAAATTATTTTCCCTCTTTCATTCTTTGGATTGTTAACATCTGGCTAAATAAGAGGCAGTGCCTGGTTTTTTTATAAAATTTGAACTTAATAAATTATTTTGGTCTTTCCATTGAAATACGGTGATGACACACCCCTTAAGAGTCGTTTGTCACACCTATTGTTAAAATAAATAAATAAGGCACAGTAAAACACTGATTTTTCAAGTTGTCTTTTAGGAATTACTTTCTGAAGTGCGGAGATTTCCTGTGAAACATTAATCATTGTTTGCCTGAGGAATTAGAGTGAGTTAATGTCCTCTGGTGCTAAATATGATTTTGAGAAAAGCAAGTTTTTGCATCCAGGTGGAAATCTTCTTAGCTGATGGTTTTGCTGCTGTTTACTTAATTCTTTGAAGGCATTTATTTTATGTTTCCTTTAATTTCTTTGAGTTTTGTTCTCTAAAAAATAACATCATCTAGTCAGGCTACAGACAATACATTTTTGCAAGAAAATTATTACAAATAAGTTTCTAAATGTATAGCTTTTAAATTTTTCATTCAAAGTCAGATTATTTCAAATTAAATGCCACTTCTTATGTCAGGGAAAACTGTAGCTTCACTTATATTTTTTGGTTATTAAAACATAAGTATCTCAAGAATTATTTCAAATGAATGACAATATTTTATCACAATAATACAGAAACAACATCATCAGTACCTAAAATCTAGTACAAATATAATAATGTTTAATTATTATAGCTTCATGTAAAATGTATTACAGTTATGACAAAGACATTTCTTAGTGTTCCTGGTCAACTGTATTCTGTTGATATTTCAAGAGGATGCACATGTACCACTTTTAGAACCATTATACTCCCTAAAATTTTAATAAATTCCACATAAGCAGAAGCCAAATTTTTATTTCAAAAACAGAATAGAATACACTCAATCATCATAGATTCTGTTACTTGCTTCAAGAACCACTGACATGGTTGTTCTGTTTGGGGTTTTTTCTTTTAAAAGGTGGAAGAATGTATTGTCAATTAAGACATGAAATCAATTATGTTATGGAAATAAAAATGAGGGTAAAAAGCCCGATTTTCTCTACCATTTATCTTAAAGAACTTGCCCATGATCTATTCATAAAGGTGATGATCAAAAAATGAGGACTTAATGACATTCACGGAATCAGAATAGATTTAAAAACAGGTTATTTTCTCTTAGTGGTGATTAACTTACAGAGAAGAATTTCATACCTATATGACTCCTTGTTTATTTTAATTTTGGCAAAGAGCAACCAAATCAAATCCCTAAATTTTGTAGTTAGAGAGTGTAGTTATTATGAATTTTTTTATTTCCCTGCCCCCACACCCCCACATCCCCTACCCTCTAACCACCCCAACCCCTCCACCCCAGCCCCCAGCCATTCTCAAGGAGCAGAAGTGTGTATAAAGCTGTCTGTACTAGGATGGAGCATGAAGGGACAAGAACAGTGATGCAACAAAAGGATCTATTTTGTAACAATGGGTCAGGTACAGAAATTTTAAAATTTAGAGCTACAGTCTTTGAAATCATGGCAATTTGGATTTGTGCAGGACATTACTTCAGCTGGCCTCATAGGTCATCCCAAACCTTGCAAAATTGATGTTTTTTCTGCTGATTTCAAAGATGTTAGGATATGTTCTTGTAACTTCAGACTGTGAGGTGTCATAGCCCCAAGCAAAGAAATATTACAAAGAAATTTTTATAGTGTGATTATATATGTAAAATACCATGCCATGTTAGCACACTTAAAACACAGTGAGTGAAGTACTGCTATTACTTCACCCATATTGTAAGTTAACCAGAGCACTTTATCTGGATCAGGAAAATCACCAGAAAACTGACTAGATCAGCACAGGGTTTGGAATACTACCCACTGCTACTGTTCTATATAGGTACCAAAAACATTGCAAGAGGAAGTCCAAGGTCACTCAAGTGAAACTTCAGGACCCTGGGAAGAATATTTTTTAAAAAATAAATAATTGTAAGTTGTTAATGACGTGAGAAAAATGCTGAGAAATCTAGCACCTGCAAGTAGCTAAACATCTGGATAGTTAGGATTTTATAATTAAACAGCTTTTTTATTTACCTTCCCTTTGTTCTTAATGGCATAGGACATGAAAATTAAAGCAGTCATATTTTATAGATTTACATACCTTTTATAGGATTTCATAGCTTTAATTTCTTGATTTATGCATGTCTCTCTTTTCAAATGGACACTTTCTATTTCTCAAACTCTTTTTCCAGCTGAAATAATTTTAAGTATTCTACTGATATCAGATACCTACATTAGTAATTAAGGAAATCATTAATAATTTAGCTTGTAAGTTGCAGGGAAAATAAAGCTCAATTCACTCAGCTTGAAAGAAATCAGGATAGAAGTAGTCTATCAATTTATTAACAATATGCAATGAATCATCAGTCATTGAACTACACATTCAGTATGTAGTTTCCTACACATCCTACTCATTCAGGATCAATATCCCAAAAAACGTTCCACAACTCATTGTAGAATTTCTAATCCCCGATTTAAAAATCACGCAACAAACCCACCTCTCCCTGGGGTAGATGTGAGTGCTGTTTTTTTATGAATCCCTGATGACCTCTCTCCCACTACTAATGTCCTTGTCAGTGTGACAGAAACCCATGGTGCCAGACACAGACACCTGAAATGTGGGTCCCCATGTAACACCCCACTAGCTGGGGTACAGCTGCTCACTGCAGCTTTCAGGAAGGCTGCTGTGCCCTACCTGGACAGGAGTTGAAGAGTCACAGGGTGATTTCTGGCAATATCAAAACAGGTTTGAGTGCTGCTCAGACACCCTCTTCTCTGAGGGTCTCCTGTGTGGTTCAGAAATAAAGCTTGAAAATATGTGGGAAATACTGTGATCTCTAAGTGACTCCAGCAACCTCTGTTTTGGCAGCTATTTTGTCCCTCAAGTCCTTATTTGTCTGCATTGATTGTTAGAGAATTCTCATTGATTAGCACTACTTTTGATCAAACAAATCCTACTAGCATAAATTTTCCTATAGTGTTATGGTTTTGCGCTTTAGAAGGACAAGACTTTGAAGTTTCAGATCTCTTCTAAATACCCAGCCAGTGTGGGAATAGAAACAGTAACTTGTGGAGAACTGTGTGGCGCACAGTAAGTGGAAGAGAGAGATTTATAAATGTGTTGTTTCTGTTGTGATGAAAAAGTCTTTCTCACTTTGTAAATAAAATAATGATTAAATTTGCAAAATTTTTCTCCTTCATCTGGCTATTCTGAATTTTCTTTTAAAGACGTAAAGTTGTTTGGTTAATACGACTAAATTTCCACCCTAATTCTGAAGGATACATTTTATGACTGACTTTTATCACTTCCTCTTCCCTGGCAAAAACAAAGGTATGATCTAAAGTTTGAGCAAGACTGGCTACATTTGTGCCTGAGAGTGATTCCCTCTCCCCAGGTGTAATGGTGCAGAGGAGCTACATTCCGTAGAGTGGAGATCCTACGAACTATGAAATTAACTTACCTCTGTGACAGAAAAATTAAAGTGAATGCTCTGGTATCCTAAAAAATGAATTTTTATTTTATGTGAGGCTATGGATTTTGATTCTTCATGTGCTGTTAGAGCGTGTGTTGCCGTGTTGCGCTATGTTACAATAAGTGGTTTTTCCCAGTTGCTCCCCCCCGTCTGTGGTGTGTTGGTTCCTTCTGCTTTGCCCCTCCCCTTCAGTTTCACCTCATTGGTTGTAATTCTACTCTCCCCACCCCCTCCCCTCAGTATAAAAGTCCCTACCACTTCCAGCTCAGTCTCTTTTTCCCCAGAGTTCTTTCTGGGGTGTACTGAGAGACAATGTCCCAGGAAGACTGAGCCTCCTTGTCTTCTACCTTTGTCCTTGCCAATCCCCCTCCCTCCCCCAGGTGGATTGGAGCTAGCCTGAAGATTTTCCGGGGCTGGGAGCAAAGGGATTACGGTAATGTGTATTTATTTAATAGAGCCCAGGACACTTCTGGATTGACTATGTAGGGTATATAAGGAACTGATCCCTATAGAGCCCTGCCTGTACACTGACTTGAATCCTGAAAGTGATCTTACACATACCTTGGCCCTGTCCTTGGCCCACAGCTTTCCATCCCTTCTGGAGCAGGCCACTATTTCTGCTCCCAACTATCTGCCACAAATGGATTTGCAAGTCTGAAGGCTGTACTGTGAAAACAGATCACAACCAGTGTTTATTAGAACATCTTACAATAATTTTTCATTATTTTTATGGAGCTGCTGTTGTTTCTAGAAATAAATTATACCGTAACTCTGACTGCTTCACAGCTCCGATCTCTCTCACTCACAGAAATGTGTTTGGATCATTATCTGAGAACCCTACCCCAACAGTTTACTCAGATGCCAAGGGTCACAGAGGTGTGCCACTAGTTTCTTACAAAGTGGTTGGAAAATACCTATATGAGTCCTATGTTTTACCAGACATATATATATATATATATGGGAATCTGTAATCTCTGTCTACAGAGGCAACATGTAGAGCTGTTGCCTCTTGGATGTGGTTAGAACTATAGAACATTTTGCTGAAGCAGATGTTAGCGGCCTTGAACACATTCAGGTGCTTCTGCCACTCATTCAGTTTTTGCAGCTTCAAAAGGACTGACAGTTCCTGGAGTTATTCAGTTCCTGGGAAATGTTCAGAAATTATCGCTCAGCATGTTTTGGGTTTATTTTTTTTTGCAGCCTGCTCTTTTTTGGTAACTGTTTCTCTGTATGCAAACAGAAGCACACAAATTTTCTAATGGACCTAGCTAACAAAAGTTTTCTTTGATACGTGGACACATGATATCAATGCCTATCCAATAGGCATCCAATATAATGAAAATAAAACATCTCTGTATCTAGCATACTATCTCTATTTTTTTTTTTTTTTCAGTCACTTAAATGAAAAGAGAATATTATTCTTATAAAGCTTGAGAGGTCAGAGACAAACTTGATGCTTCAGTGCTTCTCTGACAAATATGACCTCCTCAGGGAAGGGTTTAACTTTTGGAAAATACTTGCATTCTTTTATTAGTAAAATCATCATTCTTTTTACAGTGTGTTTGTGGTCCATCCCTTTCATCTCACTGTTGGCTGATTTCTTTTCCTAAGCTGCTCTGATATTCCCCATTTCCTGCCCAGCCATGAGAAAAATAGATTAGACAAAGCTTTCAGTGTAGGACCTTGAATATTTTTTTTATTCCCAACTTTGTTGTCATGCCTAGCTGAGCTACTGTTTCAGCATCATTAAGAAAGAATGTAAATGGGTATATGATACAGTAATGAACAAATGAAATGTTTCTTCCTGGAAGGTGCTAAAATTTATCATATGATATATTTTGGAATTTACTTAAGACATGCTCTTCCGTTATACATCTATAGAAGTAGAATTTATTGAATACAGAGTATATACAGGATCTAAATGAAAATTAAATAAACTCCTTCAAATATTAATTAACAGATTGGGAAAATATCCCTCCACTCCCTGAAACGAAAGTGAATTTTTCATTGTTGTTGTTTTAACTTTTCAGTACTCATATTATTGCCATTCTGTTTTCTTGTGTGTGTCGTGAGGAGGAGGACCATATGAATAAGGTAAGAGAAGTGTCAGAAATATTTTGTTCCTATAGACTATATAGTGAGCATACAGAAAATAGAGCTACTGTTAAAAATCCTATTCCGTGGAATTATTTGAATTAATTTTTAATTAATTATTATTTTATTCCCACTTTATTCTTTCCACAGGTGGGAGTCAGACCCATCTATTACTTTGCAATGCCCAGAAATAATACTTTTATTGCAGCAATTTTCCTTATAGACAGTTGAACATTTTTCATACTGTTTTTCATCCTGGATAATTTGATCACTGTAGGGCATATTGTGCATAATTTTACGGGAATGGAACACAGAAATTTACATGACACAAAATAATTTCGACTGAAAAGCCTATTAAGAAGAAATAAGATACAGTAGAAAACATTCCCCAATTGTTTATCAGAGGACAGTGAAGCAAATTGAAAAGGAATGGTTTGTGCACTTTGGTGCATATTCCTTCCTCAGATACTTTTGGTCACACTGAGGTGAGACTGAATCAGTGCCCACAGCTTACTCAGTTTTGTGTGGCAGGTAGGACATAGCAGGGGGTGAAATGAATTCATCTTTCTGTCTTCAAGTGAACTAAAAGCAATTTTATTCTTCCCATGTGGTCACTTGAGGTGCTTGTCATGTTCAAGCTAATGATATCAGGCACCCTCAGGTTGTTTAAGTATTCATGAAGTAATTAAATTCTCATTAACATATAAATAAAAGAAAACTGAAAACAAGTTTAGGAGGCACCTAACATCTGTTCTAATGCTTTTAAGTATTAAAATGTGCCTCAAAAAGAAGGAAAAGTGCATTCTGTTCAGGCAAGTATTTTGCATAGATTATTTATAGAAACTGTAATTAAACTGATTTGGCATATTAAGTAAAATTAACAGCAAAACATTATTTAGGTAGTTCAGTGTCTCTGACACTTAAATAAGAAATTTAAAATAGGAAAGAGAAGGTAAAATTAATTTTTATTTGTTCTGAGGTCCAGATGAAATGACAATAATTGAAAACTTAGTCTTTTAGAATTAGAGAAATAGAAAATCTCAGTCTGCAGGCATACTTCCAGCTGTTCTTTCAAAATATATTGATTTTTAATAATAAAATGCTACTGACATTTGAAAAAAACCAACAGTTCTTCAAAATGACTTGAAAGTTTACTACTGTTTCTTTGAATTTAGTGTACAATATTTTCGTACAGCTTGACACTTCAGTTTAGATGCAACCTTATGCTCTAAAATGAATTTATTCCTTCTAACATTAAGAAGTTGACTTCTTTAGATATTTTTTCCCAAGAAATTATTCAAGAAAATATGTTTTACCTATTAACAAAATGTGTGTCTTGTGTTCTATACCATATCACTGCAGTTTTCTGTATGATAGAAATAGCTAATAAAATTAAATAATCCTGAACTGTGGTTTGAAATTGATAGGCTGAAGAATAGCAAAAGAGATAGATAAATCTCATAAGAGAATCTTCAGAATGTGTTAACCATTTCATCAAACAAAGAAGCTCTGGAAGAATGAATTCCTGAGAAGTAAATATTTCAAATCCATCTTTCAAGGGAAATATACTGAATTGATTGTTTTGTTTTCTGTTTGTAACAACCTCTGTCTTTTTTTTATCATAATCTATATTAAAAATGTATTCTGTATCAGTTTAATTTCATTGTGGTCTTATTGACTTAGCACAAAGTACATAAGATGCACACTTATATTGTCCTTACTTTTAACAGAGCTGGAATGTATAACCAGAGAAATAAAACGTTTTTTTTACTCTTTATGCTATATTGTTCCTTTCAAAAAGCAGTATTTCATGTCTTATTCCTTGCCTTATTTTATGCCTTTCTCCTTCCTGTGGTGCCTACAGAGGGAAATGTATGCCAGTTATGCAATGTGTTTGGTGCATGCTGAAAAAGATATATTGCAAAAAAGGGCACATAGACCTTCCTGAAATAAAAAGATAAATTCTGGTTTTAACTGTGGCAGACAAAATCCAAGTAATTTAAAAATAGCTGCAGTGAGTTATCATTATAGACACAAACAGTTATTATTCTTTTTATAAAGAGTGCTATTCATTACCAGCTACATTTACAAGCAACATATGAAAATATTCACCTCTTTGTTTGGTTTAAAACCTGTTATGAACTCATATCAGTACCTGTCAGCTGTTACGATTAGCAGAGAATAATATTTTCTTAGTCATTATAGTAATGAATGGAAACTATGTATTATTACAACCTAGAAGGAAAAAAATAAAATAAAATAAAATAAAATAAAATAAAATAAAATAAAATAAAATAAAATAAAATAAAATAAAATAAAATAAAATAAGTCCAAAACCTATACAGCAATGAAGACACTAACTAAAGCCTGGATAATTGCAAACTGAAACTGGTAAAAGCTCATGAAAAATTAATTTGGTAACTCATGAAACAGGAACTGAGAGTTGGTTCTTACATGCCTACAGGACAAGGAAATTAAACATTACAAGGCTTGCTTGAGAGAATGTCTGCCCCAGAGCAATTATATGTGCTTACCTTGGAATCCCTACTGATCTTAGATTATCTTACAAAACACATGAGAGAAATACTGCCAAAATAAACTCTAATCTTTTTATGAACCTGAAATAGGGAACAAACTCTTGAAGTCTGTATGAATATAAAGCACCAATATTGGTATAATCTCTTTAATGTGGGGATGGGTAGTGAGCATGCACTTTCATCCAGTACTTGTTCTAAATAAGAACTCATCTTTTAGTACTGTTAGTCAAAACACTACTTTAGAAATCTTCATGAATGGACTTCAATTTAAGACTAAGCAGTTCTGGATCCAGCATTGAGTTGTGATGGAGAAAAGATAGTAGAATCAATTGTTGTTGACCACGCTGGGTATATTTCATAAAAAATGCTACCAGTTTTTCGATTTATCTGTAAATAAAGACATATTGGTATATATAAAACATGGTTTAGCCATACTGCTGTCAGGAAACAAAACTGAGCCTAGAGAATTTACAACTCACTCTGGAAAAGGATGATCTCAGTTGTTTCCTATTAAGCACTCATCTGTCTCTTTAGTGCATCTTCTGCTGCCAGACACAGTTACATTGAACATTACACTGACCAAAAGTGTAGTCATCAGTAGATCAAACTGATTTTTTCAATGGTACATGTACTTTGCTAAATTAGAAAAGACAGACCTCAAAGGCTCACTTGTTCATCTACACTGTACTTGTACACACACACTGGCTGGGTTTCTGACAACTGCAAATTTCTCTGAGGTATATAAATTCCAGTGAAATAGCTTCATGCATGTGAATGAAACTACTCCACCCCACTTCTTCAAGGTCATGACTTAATATTTTTTATTGATGAAATTATGCAATTGATTTATTACAAAATGGAACAAGATGTCAGGGTATAGAAAACTTTCAACATCTCTCTGCAAGAGAGAGCTTTGGACAAATTTTAAGGATATTATGTTCACATAAACAGTAGTCCTCATTTTTTTCAAGCAGAAATCATGTAGATATCAAATGCTGAAATAGCTTTGAGAATAGGAGTTTAACTCAATGAGTTAAGATGCCACAAACCAACGTAGGGTTAGAGTTCAGCATTCTGGATTGTTGCTATGACCCTGGTGAAATTAAGATTCTGAGTTTTCATTTGACTGTAATTGAACAAACTTTTTTCCAGTGCACTTTTTTGATTCCCTTTCAGTGAGATCACTGCTTTACCCATCTGGTTTCATTTTTGACTCCCATCATGGAACATTCTGCCCTTGCTGCTCCCTCGTGAGACTTCTCTCTTCTCACTGTGTGAAATTTATAGCAAGGGTCACTGTTTTGCCCAGTTTGTGGTGGGGAGCACACATTTTCTTTTCACTACACCAGAGAATCTTGTTCTTTTTACTTTATTTTCATGAATTTAACAGTATTGAAATTATGTACAGTATGAAATATGAAGTAGTACATATTTAACAGTATGAAATTCACAGTAGAGTGCCAAAACCAAGTCCCTAATACTGGGATCAAATAGGTAAAAACTTATACATTGAGAACATATAATATATTAATTACTTAGAGTTTTGGAGAGATAGTATTTGTAAAACAAACTTGTAAGCAAGATAATTCTTCCTGAAAGAAGTCACTTTTCACTTACAGAATATATAAGTTAATCAATCAAAGCCAAAACGTCTGGATCATGTTGTTGTCCACATTAGTGATATAAAAGAAAGCTAACACTCAAAATAAATGTGAGGTAATAGAAATCAGTGGAGCAGATTCATAAAAAGTATTTTATTTTAAGGAAAAAAATGAATTTTTCATCATTGCCAAAGGGAAATCCGGTATTGAAATCATCAAGTCAGGACTGGGTGCATTCTTGAAAGGGATTTTTAATTCAAACGCAAAGCGTGAAGATAAATATTAGAGTGATTCTATGACCTACACTATATAAGCAGTCAGAATAAATGATTTAATATTCCCTTCTGGCCTTAGAAATGGTTCATTTGTCATAATCTGCAGAAACCAGTCACTTCATAAATTATTTCTGAATTTTAAGAAACTACTAGATAATTAAATAAGTGCATAGGATAATTAAATAGTATCAGGTAATCTGATCAAGTCTTCTCTCCATTCTGCTTACAAAGATCTAGGATATTAGACTTTCTCACAATTTCAAATATACTGTTGGTACTTCTCTGATCATGAAAGAAAGGAAAAGATCATACATTCAGTGTTTTTTTAAGTGATTAATGGATTTCACTACTGGAAGACTTCTCATAAATGTTCTTCTTCATTAACCTAACAAGTCACTGCAGAATAAAACAAGCCAATTTTAGAAAAAAGTGTTCATACTTACAGACGCTTAATTTCTCCAGTTTCTCTAAGGGTCTGGAAATACTACATCATATGATCAGTTAGACAGCTATTGTATATTAAGGAATCCTATAAGATTTATAACTAAAATGGCCCACAAAGCATAGCAGAAATTCAGAAAAATGTAACAATAAAATTAGCTAACCTAAGAGGAATTCTACATTGGATTTTTTTGTTAAGGATGTTACTTTTATCAGAAGAGTAGAAGATAAAAAAAAAACAGAATCAGTAAGAAAAAAAAATATATTTATCAATATTTTTTTTAAATTTCTTTGAGATATTCTATTAATATATTTATTAACATTCATTTCCAAGTCTCTAGCGTAACACAGACTGGTCCTAAAGAGTGAGGTACATAAAAGTAAGGCAAGCATGAGAGAAGCATCTTTATGATCTATAGAATTCTCAGAGAAACTAATCAAAAATAAAAGGCAGGAGTGGTACAGAATTTGACAGAAATTCATACAGCCTGTTCACGCTTACTCATGGAGTGGAGAGAAAATCTAGTCTATGCCTGAAACAAACAAATGAAGGAGAAAAAAATTACATGAAAAATTTTGTTTAGTTAAGGTCACAGAAGCAAAATAATGTTTAAAAAATGTGCTTCTAGTTGACTACATCCAGTATGGCAAAAGAACAACAAATAACTTTTCTACCAGAAATTTAGCAATTTCTATTTTTCTATCTTTAGTCACTGTTTGTGGTCTTTATTATTCCTTTTCCTGATGTAATTGAATAATAAATACTAATAAATAATAAAATATAAAATAAATAATAAATAATAAAAACTTTTTTTTTTTTTTTCCTTAATCATTTGTTGGTAAAAACTTAATTTGGGATAGTCTAGAAATACTCTTTTAAAAAATTAAATAAAGGATTTCTTGGTACATTGTGCCTAAGTATCCAAATAAAAGAATGGAAGTTTTAGGATATTTTAAGGGGAAAAAATCCTTTAATTTTTGAGTATAAATTTTATGTTTTAAACACCTAACATCTGTTTCCTCACTTTTCTTAGGATAAATAGGATGGTCATCCCTGACAACCTTTCATGTTACAAAAGCTCCCACTTTCCATGGAGAACACCGTCAGTGAAAGTACAGGGACAACACATAGTATCATTGCAGTTTGCTCAGTTTAGGAGTTTAAAAGGGTGCAAAGAGTCTGCTAAAAGCAAACAAAACCATCCTAGAACTTTTCACTGCTTTGCAGCTTCTAGGTGGTTCTGGAAGGTACTATGGGTTTTACGACTATTAAACAGACATTTTGTATATGTGGCGTTGATCTCTACCCCTAGTATGGATTTTAGAGGCAAGGACTAGATCTTCTTTGGTAAGGATGACTTTGGTATACCTTTATTATGCTATTTTATTTATACTTTGTATTATTATTTTCATATGAATACTTTGGCTATGTGGGATTTGTGCTACAGGGATATATGTATATATATACATTGTCATCTTACAATCTACTAGAACATACCAATGATTCTTGTAAAGAGATTTTTTTGCTCCCAAATGTGACAAGAGTGATTTCACTGTTTACCTGTTTTTAGGCCAGACCACTAAATAAAGTTAGAAATCCCACATTTCGTTGGTAGAAATAGTTCCTTTTCTATAGACACTTACTTTCCAAAACTTGTTGTCAAATTAATTCTTCATAATTACAAAATTACTGAAGTTATGGATACATAGATTCAACTTCCTATTAGAAAAAGGCTTCTTGAAAACACTCACACAAATAGCTACTGAGTGCACTGACAGTAACAGAAGAGGAAGTATAAAACTAATTTTTCCATTCTGTTAGATGGTATTTTTAGTTACACTAACAAGCACCTTTACTGTCAGTCTCATCTACAGAGTTAGAACAAAATGTTAGTATGCATTTATCAATCACAGATTTGATGC